TTGGATGCTTTGGAAAACTAGAAGAGTCACGATCTGCAACGAAGTAAAATCACACTCATACGATCAACTCGTGATGTTAAGTGCTCGATTGAAGAGAGTTATGTCTTGTACCGATCACAAAGCGTGTGATCATGCTGATGCTACTCTTGGGACCGGTCATGACCAACGTGACCAGGCTCAGCTCACTCTTGGGACCCATTACGGACAACGTAAAAGCCTTCAATAGACTTCTTGCATCAAAAGACATAAATACCCGTTCATAACCTAAAAAGGATGAGTCTTAGAGTTTCTTCATGTGCCTAAAAGATTTTAGAAGCAACCACGACAAAAGCTGCCTCTTGTTCTTCCTCAAAGCCTTGAAGATCACCAAAACACTCTTGTTTCTAGTTTTGCTTTGTTTGATTCATAAAGAAGAAGTCTTTGTATTCGATATTGCAGAAGTAATCTCTAAATAACTATTTGTTGTTAATCTTTTTATACATATGAGTTTTCTAAACCTTATTCTCATGCTTCTGTCAAACATTGAGTAGTTTACTTATTGGGTTTAAAGGGTAAATCAAAGGGGAGCAATGATCGATTAGTTTAAGTTGCGATTTATAGTGTTTAATTTGTTTACAACGTTCATTTGTTCTGAGCTTAATCCTAATGTATGTAGTTAGCGTCATAAACTAACTTTGATTACATGTAGGTAAAATTCTTTACCCGAGAGTTTATATACTAGAATCAAGGACTTGGATGAGTATCGTGTTATAACATGCACAAGTTGAGTTATAGAACTTTATGGAAAAGAATCGAACTTGCTTATATTGCTAAGATATATGTGTTGTTGCATGCATTATTTGAGTAGTAGAGTATATAGACTTTAGAAAATTGACTCTATGATTTATAGATTAATTGTTCATCCGTGCTTCGTAGTCTAGGATTTAGAAGTGAACATACATTCACCTTAGATTTCTCTTATTGATTTACCTTACGATTTATTTGCTTCATTTGTTTATGTCTGTGACACCAAAACAAAACCCCTTTCATATTATCTTTCTAGCTTTAGTGTATTCTGAAGGATTCGTAGAACAACAACCTCTCTCTTTAAGATTCGATCTTTAAACAGTATAACCAGTTAACTGTGCACTTGTAGTTGTCTTGTCTACTTGAGGTAAAATATTGACAAATATCAAATGGATGGATCTAAGAACGCCACTCAAGAGTGTCAAAATTCTTGTGGTGGGTTCAAGAGAGACATTGACTCACCATATATTCAAGCAAAATAATGTTACAAAATGAAAACAAATAAAGGTTTTATATGTACTAATATTTTTAAAAATTATTAACCAATATTTAATAAAATTTTACTAAAATGCAAAATAAAAAAAATATCATTGACAACAAAACACCTTATGAAAAGTTAACATCTAAGATCCCAGAATATCATGCTCTTAAAGCTTTTGGTTGTCTATGCTACTGTTCTACATCCACTAAGTCTAGAAATAAGTTTGAACTTAGAGCTAAAGCCTGTATTTTCTTAGGATATCCATCAGGTTATAAGGGTTACAAGCTACTAGATATAGAGACATACTCAGTTTCAATTTCTAGACATGTTATATTCTATGAGGATATTTTTCCTTTTGCATCATCTACTATCCCGGATGATACAAAACATTTCTTTCCTCATATTTCTCTCCCTGCACCAAACACTGATGGACATTTGCCTCTAGTGCAACCATCTTCTGATGCTCCTCACAATATTGATGAGTCATCTTCTTTGATTTCTGTTCCTTCTGAACTTAAATCTACTAGGCAGAACTGCCTTCCCATTTGCAGGACTTTCATTGCTATAATAGTACTCCTACTAATACTAATCTCCCTATAAAGACTTCTTCTTATCCATTAGCAAATTATATATCTTATACTTCCTTATCTGAGCCTTTCAATGCCTTCATAAATATCATCACAAATACTACTATACCGCGAAAATATTCAGAGGCTAGGCTGGACAGGGAAGTGAATGATGCTATGAGAAAGGAAATTGGAGCTTTTGTGAGAACTGAAACCTGGAGTGTTTGTGATTTACCTCCTGGTAAGGTAGCTATTAGCTGCAAATGGGTTTTCACCATTAAATACCATGCTGATGGAAGCATAGAAAGATTTAAGGCGCGTTTGGTGGCAAAAGGGTATACTCAGCAAGAGGGAATAGATTTCATTGACACTTTTTCTCCAGTAGCTAAGATGGCTACTGTGAAACTCATTCTTTCTCTCGCACCAAAAATGCTTTGGTCCTTACATCAAATGGATATCTCAAATGCATTTTTAAACGGTGACCTTGTTGAGGAAATATACATGCAATTGCCTCCTGGTTATGCTGAAATACAAGGAGAAGATGTTCCTCCTGGTGCAGTATGTCGTCTACATAAATCGATTTATGGTCTTAAGCAAGCCTCTCGTCAATGGTTTATCAAGTTTTCAACAACCTTGGTGAGTTTTGGTTTTGCTAAATGTCATGGAGAGCATACTCTTTTTGTGGAAGAATCTGCAGGCAACTTCTTGGTGGTGATTGTTTATGTCGATGACATACTTATTGCCAGCACTAATGATTCTGCAGTTGCTGAATTGAAAGTTCAACTTAGCTCTGCATTTCAATTGAGAGATCTTGGTCCTCCTCAGTTTTTTCTTGGCATTGAGATTGCAAGAACTTCTGAAGGAATCTCTCTTTGTTAGAGAAAATATGTTCTGGATTTGTTGGCTGCTACTGGTTTTTCTTATTGCAAACCTTCCTCAATACCTATGGGGCCTAACCAGAAACTTTCTCAAGATAGTGGTGTTCTTATTCCTGATTCAAAACAGTATCGTCGTCTCCTTGGCAAACTTCAATATTTGTGTCTTACCAGACCATATATAACCTTTGTAGTATCTAAACTTGCACAATATTCAGCTGCTCCAAGAGATATTCACCTTCAGGCTCTTCACAAAATTTTAAGATACTTGAAGGGAACCATTGGTCAAGGCTTATTCTATGGTGTTGATGCTAATTTTACTCTGCGTGGGTTCTCAGATTCTGACTGGGGCACTTGTCCAGATTCTCGGCGATGTGTTACTGGTTTTGCTATTTTTCTTGGTAACTCTTTGGTTTCTTGGCGTTCTAAGAAGCAGGATGTGGTTTCTATGAGTTCAGCAGAAGCTGAGTACAGAGCCATGAGTGTTGCAACTAAGGAAATCATTTGGCTGGGATACATACTTACAGCTCTTAAGGTTCCTTTCACTCCTCCTGCATATATGTACTGTGATAATGCTGCTGCATTACATATTGCTAGCAATTCTGTTTTCCATGAGAGGACAAAACATTTTGAATTCGATTGTCACAAAGTCAGAGAAGCCATTGAAGCTGGTGTTCTCAAGACCATGTTTGTCAGAACTGATAACCAGTTGGCTGACATACTAACTAAACCTCTATATCCGGGTCTTTTCAAAGCAAACAATAGCAAGCTTGGAGTTCTTAACATCTATGAAGCTCAAGCTTGAGGGGGGCTATCAGATTGTACATATAATCCGGTTTATTCTCTTTGGTTAAGTTAAGATAGAGATTGTATACGATTTAGTTGGTAGAGTGTATAGAGTATAAATACATACTTGTAACTAACTTTTACATTTTGAGAAATATAATTCATTTCACAAGATTCTCTTTGTTCTCAAACTCTAATAAACAAACATCATAAAAAGCTTTACAAATTTTGTTTTAATTTCAACATTTATTAGGACATTCCTATTATCGTATTTTGAAATTAATTTTTCAATAAATAATGTTAAAAGAATCATAAATGACTTTATCTAGGCTACAATCTTTTTCAGATATTTGGATAGGTAATCAATACATAGATTTCCTGAACGCTATCGGTGTGTATAGAGTGTACAATTTGTATTGTGTGGTTCGTATAATTATTTTTTTTAGTAAAAAAATCATTGTTAGCGAATTTGATTTTTTTTTTAAAGTTACTTTGGAAAATTAGTAATGAATTAGAGCCATACTTAATTTGGTTTGCTTTCTCCTACTTAAGTTGATTTCAGTTTTTTTTTTTTAATTCCGTTAGTAAAAATTAATCTAAGACCAATTAAGCTTGCATAAAGAAATGGGGTTTTGTTTTTTTTTTTTTTTTTTAAAATTTGAGAAATGGTTTTATTACATGAGAGAAATGGTTTTATTACATGAGAGATTCTGTTTTTTTTTTTTGGAAATCTAGGCAATACTTGGTTTCATTGCCCTCTCATGTTGACAATACTGTGTGTCTTGGCCTCTCAAAGTGTGTTGACACACTTACCCTTGAGGTGGCCCAATGATAAAAGTATGATTTTACGTTTCCTTTCAAACCCCGCTACGTAATCGTCATGTTTACGGAACTCACGTTATGTAGAGTATAAAATATTCTAGAAGTCGTAGGAAAACATTTTTTATAGGTTCCATGAATCTTTAGGAAGATACAATATAATTTTCACAATTTTGAGACCGTCAATATATAAATTTACAAAAAATTCATACTGTAATCGGTTAATTCCAAATTCCCGCGAATCACGTATATCTTCCATTCTTACACAACTTGAAGTATTGATTACTTCTGTCAGTGGACGGCCTCATCTCTCAATTCTCATCGTTATGTATTTGTCGATCCCAAATTTTTTACACATATGAATTCACAATTTTTCGGAACCTAGCATAACGTTTTGACAATATGTTTACCATAAATTTGGTTTTCTTATCTAGTTGCGTCATTGCGTGTACTAAAGCTGCTTTGTCACAATCCAGATTTAAATACACTAAAACACGTGTGTGAGTTGACAAAATCATATTACAAACTCTCTTACAAGTTATATATATTACCTGTTTAAATTAACACAATGCAACAATGTGTTTTTTCTTATATAAACAACTAACCATCTTAAATAAATATACGTGACGTGACCATTCGACGAGAGAACACTATAGTATAAAGAGAGTACCTCACTCCAATCATGCACCTCTAAACCGTAGAACAAACATCTTTGAAATAGTTGAAAGAAAGACAGAATTTGATATGGTAGAGGTTTATGAGTTATTGACGGTAGTAGTTTCACTCATAGTGGTGAAGCTATTTTATTGGATATATCAGTCGAGGAATCCGAAAAGTAACGAAAAACTACCTCCAGGGTCGATGGGTTTTCCGATCTTTGGAGAGACTTTTGAGTTCATGAAGCCTCATGACGCATTTCAATTTCCAACATTCATCAAGGAGAGAATCATCAGGTGCATTTGCTAATTTTCTCTATAGCATGCATTAATTTCCCATGCACAATTAGATCTAATTTAACGGTGTCTTTACTTCGTGTGTTTTTTCTCTAGACATGGACCACTTTTTCGGACAAGTTTATTTGGAGCCAAAGTTATAATCTCGACGGATATTGAATTAAATATGGAGATAGCAAAGAAAAACCATGTTCCTAGTCTCACGAAGAGCATAGCACAACTATTTGGGGAAAACAACTTGTTTTTTCAGAGCAAGGAGTCCCATAAACATGTCCGAAACTTGACATTCCAGTTGTTAGGTTCACAAGGTTTGAAATTGAGGGTGATGCAAGACATCGATCTCTTGACTCGCATACACATGGACGAAAGAGCTAGGAAAGGTTGTCTCGATGTTAAGGAAATATCAAGCAAGGTAAGAAAAAATTAGCCATCTCGTATAGTTTGTGTCTCTTTGGAAATATTACAATCTCGAATTAATGTATATACGTATACTCAAACGTTACAGATTTTAATTGAATGCCTTGCAAAGAAAGTTACCGGGGACATGGAACCAGAGACCGCGAAAGAACTCGCACTCTGTTGGAGGTGTTTTCCGAGTGGCTGGTTTAGATTTCCTCTTAACCTTCCTGGGACAGGTGTCTATAAAATGATGAAGGTAGGTGTTTTGATTAACCTTAATAGTAGTTTTGTATGCATAGGTTTTTTTCTACAAAATTAACGATCTAAGCCGTGAGGGTGATGTTTCGTTGTAGGCAAGAAAGAGGATGTTGAAGTTACTAAAGGAGACAGTATTGAAGAAGAGAGCATCAGGAGAGGAATTTGGGGAGTTCTTCAAGATAATCTTTGGAGGAGCGGAAACAATGAGCATAGACAATGCGATAGAGTACATATACACCTTATTTCTGCTTGCTAACGAAACAACACCACGGATTCTTGCGGCTACAATAAAGCTCATAAGTGACAACCCTAAAGTCATGCAAGAGCTGCAAAGAGAGCATGCTGGAATTGTCCGGGGTAAGACTGAGAAGGAGACCAGCCTAACATGGGAAGAGTACAAAGCTATGACCTTTACCCAAATGGTGAGTGTATAATATTTTTTGTTGTACACCGCGAATCACATGCGTTGTAACTATTTAACTACGTATTTCAAGGTGTCTCGAAGTTGTCTTTAATTAAGGACATAAATTTCGATGAAATCTCAACGTTTAATCTTGTTTTAGGTGATCAATGAGTCGCTTAGGATCACAAGCACGGCGCCAACAGTATTTAGAATAATTGATCATGAATTCCAAGTTGGTTCTTATAAAATTCCAGCTGGTTGGATTTTCATGGGCTATCCTAACGATCATTTCAATCCAAAAAATTACGATGACCCTTTAGTATTCAATCCATGGCGTTGGGAGGTGAATTTAATATGATCTTTAATCTTATACTTATTTAATATATTACTCCAAATTAGTAAACAAATTTATAGAAATTTTTTGAACTAAATTTTTAGGGAAAGGACTTGGGTGCGATCGTCTCTCGTACTTACATTCCTTTTGGTGCTGGCTCTAGACTATGTGTAGGAGCTGAGTTTGCTAAGCTGCAAATGGCTATTTTTATCCATCATCTGTCTAGATACAGGTTCATTTTTATTACCTAATGACTGTGATTAGATTTTATTTTTGCTTGCACCTTGTAGCCAAAGTTTTTACTTACATGTAATATATTATATACCTATGGTTTGAAGATGGTCAATGAAGACAGGAACCACAATACTTCGAAACTTTGTACTCATGTTTCCAAGTGGATGTGAGGTTCAATTCTTAGAAGACACTGAAGTGGTTAACTCGGCTGGTTCGAATCCGGATTAATTGTTGCGATGGGTGAAAACCATCTTGTTCTTGTACGAGACAGTGGTTTGGGTTTATATTTCTGTTAAATAAATAAAGTAAGAAAGGTACAATAAGACGACGAGTGTGCAAGATGTCTTCCTTTTCACCATTGGAATTACAAGATGGTAACATGTTGTCGTTGTTGTAATTCACATATATATAGATAGGCCATGCTCTTTTCCGAGTCGTTGACTCATTTGAGCGATGGCAAAAATCAGTCTTTCTTCTTCATAATTTTTAGTTTTTGTAAGCAATATTAAAACCAGCTAATCTGACGAGATAATTTTTAAAGGTTGCTGGCGTCATGCGAATCGCTAAAAAAAACAGCGATAGATTAGTGTTCCTTAAAGCTCTGATGATTATATGTCAAAAGTGGTGTGGAAAGCATGTTATGTTTAAGTCGCTCAAATGAATCACTGCGATTCGGAAAAGAACAGGGCCATTGTTATTACCTGAGTTAATATTCGTAGTGAAACCCAATCCTATTGCCGGGTTTGTGTTGTGTTTCTGAACATTGAAAAAACCCAATAAAAATGGAAAAAAATGTCAAAAAAATCACGAACTTTCAAATTTGGTTGAAAAAAGCGCCAAATTTTCTTTGGACGCTCTAAATCACTAACTTTTGTTGAATTTATTTTATTTTAATCATAAACTTTTATTGACTGAGCCAATTTAAACACGTTTGAAATGTTTTAACGGAACATATTAACGGACTAAGTCTCCGATAATAATCAATATTGAGTTTTTCGGTAGTTCAGTTATGGAGATAAGTAACGGAGATTTAACTTCGTTAATTTGTTTCGTCAAAACATTTCATGACGGATCTAAATTAGTTTGGTTAACAAAAATTTGTGATTAAAATCGAAAAGTCAATAAAAATGTGTGATTAAAATAAAAATTTTATTGATCATTGTAACTTGTGTTATAAGATATTAGTATTTAATATATTGGGATAGTGTTATATTTATATTATTATAATATTACATATAAAGTTATTTAATTTTTTTGTCATTTAACATTACCGCCGCTATTATCACTTTTAACATTCGTAGTGTTTCTTACCACCAGAAAGGTCATTACCAAATTTTACCAATTTAATTCATATTTTTTTTATATATTGTTATAGACAAAATTTAAAAAAGAAAATAATTTAAGAAGATTATTCACTTATTCATTTTTATTTATTTTTAAGGACAAAATTTTTAATAAAATAATTAGACCAATATAGTTTACGACTAAACCCACACAACGAATGGATCAGTTTGTAGTAGAACTAAATCAAGCTATTATTGCTTAACTCTTTGACTCAATCTATCTTTACTCTGATTTTTGTTCATTGACTCACTTTTTTCCACTCAGAAAAGATGTCACTATTTTTCCTATTTTCTTTTTGATTTTTTACATTTTAGTTATCGAAAGAACCGACTGTTGTGCTTTTCAATGCATACGATTTTTATACTCTACTCTACTATAAGTAAATGCATTTCGATCAAAAAGATAAAAAAAAATAATGGAATTAGAAAAAATTAGGCTATCATTGCTTGACTCCTTGATAGAATAATATTTTATGTTTTACAAGAATCTCGATTTATTTATATTTCTTACTGTTTGGACGTTTTGTTTTCAAAGAATTGCTAAAGTTTTTTTTTTTTTAGTTGCCCCATGATGATGATGAAGACATTACATCGATCGAGAAAGCTTACCATGGTTACGATCTTTTGCCGAGTTTAAGAGTGTTGACCTCTTTGAAATTCGAAACATCATATAATAGAGAGTCTCTGCTATTTAGGAAAATTGTTGGTATAATGTTCATCATCGAAGGGAATGGATTTCGCACGAAACTTGTTGACTTCATAGGAATATGAGACCTCGATCGTCTATTTCACAATGGTACTTTCTAGGATATTTTCAGAACTCGATCGTCTCTATGTCTTAGTCTCTATTTGTCTTAGTTTGTTTTTTTCTATCTTGTCTGTCTTTAAACTTCATTTCTCGTAATGAAAGTTAAGAAATACTAGTAGTCTAATACTACTATCATTATAAATGGAACAAGTTTGTCAACGTTTTAGTTTTATTCAATTAATTAACATCATTTGAGAGAAAGGGAAAATAAATTATGTTGGGATAATAGATGGCACCAAAACATACCTGGCCATGAACATCACCATAGACCGTGATATGTACGTACACTGATGTCAACGAGAAAAGACAGTGCACACATGATTCTCCTTGTTTGTAAGATGATTTGATAAGCAAACCTACAAAACAAAGTATATAATTAATAATCACCACATTGTTAATAACGTTTAAAACCACCTAGTAAAAAGCACCATGATTCTAGTCTTCTATGGTGCTTGAATTTATTTATCATACATTGCACAAAAACAAAGCTAACTTCCTCGTCTTGAACTTCAATGTCAGTTTTATCAAAATCAACCTGCTTCTCGAATAGTTTGGAAAGTAAAATATAATTATGTTTTATCAAAATCTTTAAATTCGGTACTAAAGAAAATCCAATTGTTTATTCTGTCGGTCAAAAAATCAAATTTTTATAATAGTTCTCCAAGAAAAAAGAAGCGAGTTTCAGAAATGGAACTTTACAACGACCCAACAACCCGTGCAAAACAGTTTGGTGCGTCGTCCAGTTATATTGCCGATGCCGCATACTCGTTACAGGAAAAGACCACTGCAAATGTGGCATTTGTGGCCATCTCGGAGACCGATAGAGTGGTCTCGCATGCTACTCCTCCCGGGTAAGTTCATGATATGTAATCGTAAACCTATCTGCAAATATATAAATTAACTCAAGATTTTGTGTGTGTGTGTACAGTATGGTCAACACCTTAGGTCGACATGGATATGCTCGAAGGGAGCCAGTGAGCAGATACAGAGTTGCAGAAAAAGATCTTGATCTCACAGAGCAGGGTGTAAATGAATTGATGTTGTTGGAGCAGCAGGCCCAGAAGGCTATTGTAACTATCGTGGAGGAGCAGGTCCGACACCATGAAGACTAAAATCACGCGCTTAGCATGGCTTGTTGTATAATTTTTTTTGGATTATTATTTCTAAGATTAGTAGTGGTGGAAGTTACATTTAGAAAATTAATGCATTTAAGGAGTAAAATGTTTTGTAGAATTAGTAGGAAAATCATTCATATTATAAATGATGATCAATATGATTTAAATCAAGTAGTAAATTTATTTTAGTTGGGTTACATGATGTTTTCAAATGATTTAGTTTTAGTTATTAACTTTGATTTTACAGTTTTTTTTGGATAAAACGTAAATGTATTTATTACTATGATATTCAAATTTACAATTTTGTTTGTTCATATAAAATCGCACATAAAGTATTTAATAGTTAAAATTTTAATCAATTTGAAAGTGACAAACTAAATCTGTTTTCTACAAAATTATATGAACTACAATTTAAAGCTTTAAAAATAATCTTCAAAGAGATTTTTTCTATTCCACTCAATTAATATTCTAGAGCTAGGTTTCATTATAAGGATTTCATCTTTGTAGGATTTACATTGCTAGGTTGGATTATCTATCTTTTTAAGTAAATTATTTTTTTCTAGAAAACAATTTGAAACCACAAACCTTGAATAAAATACCTTATATGATTATCTCTTAGATCACAAAAAATAAATGTAATGATGAGTATACTAAATACGTTACAAAAAAAATATTTGAGATATGAAAGAAGTCATTTTTAGAAAGGAAAAATTAAAACCAAAAACCTTGAATAAATTAAGACATTATAATGATCTTTATACTCCATCCATTATTTAAAAAGATGTTTTAAGCTTTTGTTTTTGTTCATATATAGATGATGTTTTAGAAATCTATGTAAAAATTAGCATCAATTGACTGTTTTGCCCTTATATTATTGAGACAATTTTCAGCCAAAAGCTCTAAACTCAAAGTGTTCTACGAGATATACATGCATCCAAGCAATTATCATTTAATACATTCAGTAACTCAATTAATTACTCCACCATTGTCCATTATAAATCTTCACCACCATCGTAAAGTGAATGTAACGATTGATATTTTTTCCCTTCCACCAAAAGTTTTTCTTATTTTTTTCTTTAAAATTCATGAATTTTCTTGAGAAGGGGATGAAGGAGGAAATGGATGTGAAAAAGATTCAATAATTTCATGTTAACAATTCCAAGGTTAAACATGATTTTGATTTGAATAAGCTTTCCGACGCAAGCGAAGATATATATATGGTTGGAATTGTTCAACCAATTCATATAGATTATTTCAACATGAAACATGAATACAATTTGGACAAACATCCAAACACGAAAAATGAAGTAGATGAGGTGGGATCTGTTCAACCAACTGGTAATGTCAAACATACATTTGATTTGAATAAGCTTCCCGACGACGACGACAATGAAGAACGCTACCTAAACAAAGACGTTAAAGAATTTGTAAAAGATATGCTTAAAATATTGCTTTCCAAGTATTTTGAGAAAATGAATTAAAATTTTATTTTTATGAACTTTAAGATAAACTTCATCTTGAATTATCTCTTAAAAATATTTTTGTAGATATCAGACGTACTAGTTCATGATTGTAGTTGGATAATTTTGTTTCAAAATTAAAAATGAAGTGACTCGAATGTTTTTGCTTGATCTTTCCTGCTGTTGTCGTTATCGAAGTATCGTTAGTCAAATGACTACAATAAAATAAACACAATAATAATTCGGAATTTTAAAACATGAATTGTTTTAAAACAATAAACCCCCAAGAAAACCGAACAAATAAAAAGCACACTCGAACAATGAGTTCAACAATTTCAAAACATAAATTTGCTTCATGATTTAATCCGCCGATGCTAGTGTGTTCATTACGTCTTGGACAAGTGAAAATCACAACTTATCTGAAGCGGAAGACGATCCTCTCTATCAAATGTAGTTTTTTTTTTCAATTGTGGGATTTTATATTTGTTTGAACCTCATTTTTCATGATCTTCTTCATGCATGATTGAAGGGTTAAAAAAAATATAATTTTCCTTTTGTGTGGGGTATTATCCAAATGATTCTTCCACGGCATGAACAAGCTCTTCCACAGTTTGGAACACTTCTTATCTTGTAGTGATTGAATGGCGTTAAAAAATCCAAGATCTAAAATATTTAGATCCGGTGAATTTGGTGGCTGACACATCAAACGAATATCAAAACCATTTTTAGAAACAACTTCTTGAAACTCTTTATCACCACATTGAACATGTGTCCTTGCATTGTCTTGTTGGATGAAAATAGGTTTTCCCCGATCTTCTATTGGCCATCTTTCATGGATTCTTGGAATGATTTTTCCAATCAAACATGATTTTATATCCTCTCTTTTCACAGAAGTTAATGCTTTCATCTCTAAAGTTCCAGCATCTCTACGTTTGCTTCGTCTCGTAGCAAGTTCCACAATAACAAACGAAAACACTCCAATTTTTTACAGAAAATAGCTCATTTCCTTCTTCACTAAATTTCGGCCTAGCCATCGCGGCTAAAAACATCACCTTGCCAATATAATTCCTACTTTGACATGTACGATGTGGCACTTCTTCATCAGGAAGTAAATAATATTTCTGTGCTTTCTTCGTCATATAAAACCGTTTTTCGTCAATATGCACAATATTGTACATATCAAGAAATTTTGGTTCATGAGTCAAAGTATCTTTTTACAACATAGAGAAGCAAAAGTTTAGTCTTCCTTTCATATTCTCATCATTTAGACTTGGTTTGATAGCATTATTATGGTGTCAAATCGTACCTTCTTTAAGGCGCTTATGTAAGGACGAAACACCAATACCTAAACCCATTGATAGCGATCGAAGTGTCGTTCTCATGTGGAATGAAATATCTTTAATTTGATCCAAATCAAGTGAGATTCTCTTGGGATAACAACGTCCTGTTTTTTTGTGGGAAACATTGACTTCTCCACTATTAGAAGTTTCTTTTGCTTGTTTCCAAATCCGTTGCACCGTTTGAATATATACCAAAAATAAATCAGAAACTTCTCGTGTAGTTTTTTTCTCTAACTTCCCATCATGACTTCTCTCAAGTAAAGCAAATATATATCCCATATTTTCTTGTTCGAGATATTTTTCTATCCATGTGGAATCTCTAGTTGACCATCTATCTCCGTATATTAACATAAGTAATAAAACAATTTAGCAAAATCAACCATCTTCAACATAGCAACGACAAAAGTTTTAAAATATTAAATAATTGACAAATACTCCTAAGCTATGGCCAAAGATATTGAAAAAAAAACAGTATTTGTTGACTTGTTATTGTTGTAATACAACTATACGTAAAAACTTTAAACAAAAAAAAAACATAAAATAATCAAAATCAACAAAAATTAACTAAAGAAAAACTTAGACATGTGTATAGAAATATCACAAATACAAATGGAAAACAAAAACAATATCATTTGTAATGGTGAGAACTATTGACAAAATACTCGTCAGAAAGACACAGAGTATTACAGCTTCCTAATAATTATGAGAAACTGATTATTTTATTAAGAAAGAATGAAGAAAAAAAATTCAGACCATGGATCTTTTTCAGCAACAAATTCGTTGCACTCCGAAGGATTATATATTAACGACTGCAACATTATCATCTTCATTATTGAGTATTTCTTCGTTCGTTAGAGTTTGATTTAGATCAAACAAAAACTCTCTTTCTTCGTCTATGAATGGAAGATTCAAATCAAAATTAGAATTCATTAATGAAATTGTGATCTTTTTTTTTTATTCATTTGCTTGTGTTGTGTCGATATATATTAGCATCATGAGTTTTCAGTTTCGCTCCAATATAATTTTTAAATTTTGGTAGAAAATTCGGTTTGGTTGATTTGGCTCCAAAGTTCAAATTTTTTAACAATGTTACTCCCTCCGTGTGTTAATGACAAACAAAGAATTTGACTAAGAAAAATAAATTGACCCTTTATATCTGCATGTGAAATTGTGGCCTTATTAATGATTAGGAATAACATCTCATGGGATCAAAAACTCTTGACTAAATAGTAATATGCTGACATTTTCTTAATTAATTGTGAGAAAGTTAGAATAGGTATTATACAAACTTTCTTAATTACTCTGCATTAGTCTAAAGCATCACTTATTAAAGAATAGAAGGAATTTAATTAATAAGATGAGAAGTGATGGAAGTTCTATTCATATACATAATTAATTATGGGAGTTACAATTATAATAATTGTGTGTTTGAATGTCATTGAATGGATGAAAAAAAATTAATACATAATATTTATGATTTCAATTATAACTTGGTATTAAAGTGTGGATTTATTTATTTATTTATTTTTTTCTTTTTTGTCAACAGCTTAAATTAAAGCTCAAAAGAGCCATTCCTTGGGAATGTTGTTTACATATGTGATATGAAGCGGTTCGGTACGAACTTGTCGAGCCAATTTATCCGCTTTTACATTTGCGCTACGAGGAATTAAAGATAAAAAAAAGCTTGAAAATTCTTCCCTATCACTCTGAAAGTCCTCCAGATACACTGAAAAAGCCGGCCATTCGGTTGGAGAAGACACCATCTTCACCAAATCTGAACAGTCTGTAATGAAAGCTACATCTTGGTTGTCAGCACCAATCATACACTTCATCGCCCAAAGAAGAGCTTCGACTTCTGTATGTAGAGGAGATAGACTTCTACGGATGTTGGCAGCTCCCATGGTTGGCATCTCTCCATTTGATGATGAACAATACCATCCTGTTCCTGAAAAAGTATCGGTTCCTTTCCATGATCCATCTATGAAACAACGATATCCTAGATAATTAGACTCCAGTGAGATTTCCCTCACTCGGTTTCGATTTTCATTATCTAAAAAACCATGGTTATCAGTATGAAGCTCATTTTGAGCTAGCTGCCATGATTGCGCCTCTTTCTCCGCCAAACGTAAGACCTCTAATGGATCTTTATCCACATTTTCAAAAATCTTTTCATTCCTTGCTTTCCAGATGTACCAAAGTATCCATGGAAAAGAGGATGAATCTAT